GAACGCCGGTTACCCTGTTTATAATAATATTACTTTACAATTCTTTTTTATTTTTTATTAATTACACTCCGTTTCTGCCAAAGTCTGTAGATCGAATGAGTCGTTACCCCGACATTTTCTGTTGAAGGGGTTTGGGCGAGGGGCGTCAGTGCACACTCACGAACTGTGAAAAAGGAGAAACGGCGAACGCATTGTCACAGAGATTGTGGCAAGATACATCCGCCACTGTTGTGACTGTTCACTTGCTTGCCCCTCCCATGTGAAAACAAGGCTGCACTTTCCAGAGTTCCTGTGGAGTAGTCCGGCCGGGCCAAAATCTGTGGACGATCTGCATTTAATAAGAAAGATAAGATAGCTCTGCATTGTTGCGATTCGTGCTTTCGATCTTTGGCCAATGATGATTGGTGTTGACAGACTGCATTATGATCTGTCGCCGGTTTGTGGAATGACGTCGTCAAGACAGATCTACAACAATGCACTGAATCACTGATTAATGGAAATTGCATTTGTGGAATGATTGTCGGAGAAAAAAAAAAGGAGCGGGACATGGCGAACAGATTATTTGCTGTGCAGGTCATCAAAGCTCCGGAGGCTCGGAAGACGGAGGCTACTGCAAAAACGTTTATTCCTGGCGAAACCCTGGACGCGGCAATGGTGGATACCAAGGGTGAGGAGGAGGAGGAGGAAGAAGAAGAGGAGGAGGAGGAGGAGGAGGAGGAGTCCGTCCAGCCGCCGCAACGGCTGCCACAGCCACAGCCACAGCCGCCGCCCCAGCCCCAGCCCCAGGCGCAGCCTCAGCAACAACCACCATCTCGGCCGAGAAAGGGTCCGACACCTGAGGAGATTATGGCAATCAGGGTACGTACTACGTATTTTCGACATGGGTCCGAAAAAACGGCCAGCGGCAAAGTGTGTTCATCCCCGTTCAGTTGCTTCGGCAGTATTGTTACTTTTGTTTTCCTTTCGTTATGAACTCGATCATTCATTACTGAAAATAGTTTAATAGTTCAAAAAATTGGCAGAAACACCCCTGCACCCTCCTTTTTTTTAATCTTCAGGGGCTCTGGACAGACAGTCTTGGTCAGGTAAGAAAGGGGGAGAGACGGTTAACGGGGGTCCAAATATTCGCCGTTTTCGTTGGCAATTGCGGTGCGAATTTCATCAAAAATTTTAAAAACAAACGATATGAGACCATAGTGCAAACATCAAAAAAGGAAACAGGCAAAAAAAAACGAAAAAAAAAACAAAAAAACACTATGAAACCCTAACACAAAAACACTGTCCGAGTCAAAATGAAGCGTCCAACGAATCCAACAAAATGCCAACTATTTCATTATTTATCCAAACATGTCAACACTGCACACATGACGTACCCTAAAGCACATATATATCACACAAAAAGAAAAACAAGAAAAAAGCAAAAAATCAGCACAATATGACAGTTTCAGTGCAATTCGGTGCAAAATTCGTCAAAAATAACACCCCTGGTTAACCACGTGTGAGGGGGAGAGACGGTTGGGAAAGCATCCCCCCTCCCCCCGCTCCCCCTCCCTCTAGCGTATTCTGGGCATGGCCTCATTGTATCATGAGACTCTTCTCCACCTTTGGTGCTTTCGGTGTCTGGGATGAAGTGCGTATCTCCAAGTACGACAGTCTTCCCCTGAGCAGGAAAGGCGTCCTCATTCTGAATGTATACAGACAATCTTTCCGATCCGATGCAGTCATGATTAAGGTGCGTTGTGTTCGGGGAAGACGGTTGTAATCTATACTTTAGCGGCGTCAATGGACTTTACCTTTCAGTTTCGAAAGTTTGTTGAATTATTGACTGTCATGGCCTTAACCATCATTACCATGGTTAACCATCATTACCATGGTTTAATCATGATGTGAGTACGCATGGTTTCGGTCATGATATCGTGAATGGGTTAAAGCCCCATGGCTTAATTCATCGTGGCAGCGTGGTTCTTCGATCATTCGTTTGGTGTTTTAGATGGCTTAGCCTTTTGTCGGGCCAACCATGGGAACGATCACGAGTGATCTGACACCAATCAGGACTTCAATCAATCATTACTCCAAGTAATCAATCAACCAATCAATCATAAGTCTAATCAATCAATCATGACGCCAATCAATAAGTGATGAGTTCAATCAATCAATCAATCAATCAATCAATCAATCAATCAATCAATCAATCAATCACGTTTGTCCATTCTCTAACCCATAAGATCAGCGCCTTAGGAGTCCCTCCTTCTAAAGCTCCAGTGGTCCCAAACTTATTTTCTGGAACCTAATGGTTTTCCTGGGCCCGGGCCCGGGGCACAGAACCTTTTTGAGTTTTGGGCTGTCCAGGTTGAACCAGAGGGGCGATGTTTTGTGTGCTTACTCCCACCCCAGGCAGGCCACAAGAGTGGCCTGGGAGGCGGGGACCACTTGCCCAGCCGGGCCAAAAAATAAAAATTTATTGGTTCTAACTTCTAAAATCTAAATTAGTAAATTCCAACTTGGTAAAGAATTTTCAATTTGACCCCGAGGCAAAAGTTATTCAGATTTTTTTTTTTTTTTTTTTTTTTTTTTGGCAGGGAACCTCCCTCCTGCCCCAAACCAAGATGACCCTGGCAGCCCGGCTGGTAGCCCAGCTCCCGCCGTCCGGATTTTTTTTTGCCATCCGGATTGAATTTCATGATTTTTCCAGTATTTTTCCCTGATAGATCCTCACTTGATCCGGGTTCCTGATTTCTTTCAGATGTGAGGATGACCACGGAAAATAGCCGTGATGTCTTACCACAGTGAAAATTGCATGAGCTGCCATGAGAGGTCCCTCCCACTGCTGGTAGGCTGACACTTTCTGCTGTCAGCATTTGTACCACAGCAGGCCTCAGTCAACATCGGGTCCTCTGGTGGTGGTGGGTGTTTTTTTTTTTTTCTTTTTTTTCTTTTTTTTTCTGTAACCTTTGTGTATGGTTCTCACAGTTTTTTGGTCGAACTGCCATTTTTTCTAATAAATTGTCTTCGATGCCTGCACGGATGTGTATGGTTCTCACACTTTTTTGGTCAAACTGCATTTTCAACTTTCTGTTCATGCGATGCGTGCCAGCGGTCAGAGAAAAGAGTTGGATCGTGCGAGGATGCAGACAGTGAAACGTGGTGCTAATCAAACCTGAGTGAAAGGTGAGGGGAGGAGAGTCTTCTGCATAGAGCCTTCTAACATCTGTGCTGTCAATGCTGTTGGATCGTGCGTCGTTGCAGGCTGCAATCCAAACTGCCCAAACTCTTGAGGAGGTGGCAAGATTGGAACGGGTACGTATGTTCGTTTCCCGGGACTGTGTCCATCCTTGTCTGTCCTCGTGCGCTTGCGTGTGTGTGTGTGTGTGTGTGTGTGTGTGTGTGTGTGTGTGTGTGTGTGTGTGAGGAGGTGGCAAGATTGGAACGGGTACGTATGTTCGTTTCCCGAGACTGTGTCCATCCTTGTCTGTCCTCTTGC